TTGGAACATATGCCTTCTTCCCGTCATGTGTCGCGAGCAGCCAGAGTCCAGGTACCATGACTGGTGTTTCTGATTTGCTGCTAAAGATATCTGCAACATGTATTATTTTATCCTTAGGTACCCATATTTTCTTGGGTCCTGATTTGTTAGCTTTACCAAAACTCTGGTTGAATTTTGGTTTCACAGAATACTTACTACTAGTATATTTAATATCATGTGTGTGACCATACACAAAATGTGAGTTCAGAGGAGCGTGTTTAATAGTTAAATCCATGGCATTCTTTGGTGTAGGTACCTTACCTTGGTATCCTATTCCCTTTCTGCCGTTTCTGATAACTCCATAGATCATTGAAGCCATTTTGCTTCTATCTATGCTTTTAGCCAGGAACTTCTGAAAGCTATGATCATACTCCTTGATGATCTCATCAGCGCTGTTGGGAGTTTCAGAAATTGTTTCCTTCTGAGAGTTTTGTAAAACATTTTCTAATTTTGAAAATTTATTTTTCAACTCAGAATTTTACAATTTGAGACTCTCAGCTTTGTCAGAGTCAGAATCAAGATTCCTTTTCAGGTTTCTAAATTTAACTCTGATCTGCTGGTACCTTTCCAGAATTTCGTTAAGGCTTTCAGCAAGTTCAGCCTTAGTAAAATTAATTGCAAAGTCAGGAAATACCTCTTCGGCGTTTGATTCTGAGTCTGATTCAGAAGCTTCACTGTCTTCTGATATGTTGGCCATGAGAGCTATGTTTGCTCTCTCATCATCTGATTCTGAGTCAGCTTCAGACGAGTATGAATCATCCCATGTAGCCATGAGACTTTTCTTCTTTTCTCTTCCAAACTTCTTTTTGGGCTTTTCCCTCTGAAGCTTTGGGCAGTCACTCTTGTAGTGTCCTTGCTCATTGCATTCATAGCAGATGATGTCCTTGGTGTTTGGCTTTCTGCTTCCTGAAGAGCCTTCAGATCTTCTGTATCCAGAGGAAGAGTCTGACCTTCTGTATCTGGAAGAGGACTCATTCTGATCAGATCTTCTGGGATTCCTGAACTTCCTTTGCCTCTGCTTCCATAGTTGGTTCACTCTTTTGGAGAGGAGGGAAAGTTCGTCTTCTTCTGATGAGGACCCATCAGATGTTTCTTCAACTGCCTGCAAAACTTTAGAGTCATATTTTCTGTTAGATTTTAATGCTAAAGGCTTACCTTGCTTCTGAGGTTCATCAGCTTCTAGCTCTATCTCGTGACTTCTGAGGGAGCTGATAAGTTCCTCCAGAGAAATTTTGTTGAGATCTTTAGCTAGCTTCAGCGCTGTAACCATTGGCCTCCACTGTTTTGGCAAGCTTCTGATGATCTTCTTGACATGATCAGCAGTAGAGTATCCTTTGTCCAGAACCTTGAGACCAGCCACCAGAATTTGGAATCTTGAGAACATTGTTTCAATGGATTCACTTTCTTCCATTTTGAATGCCTCATACTTCTGAATGAGCGCAAGAGCTTTAGTTTCTTTGACCTGAATGTTGCCTTCATGCGTCATTCTGAGTGAGTCAAACATGTTCTTTGTTGTGTCTCTGCTATATATCTTTTCATATTCAGCATAAGAGATGGCGCTGAGAAGAATGGTTCTGGCCTTGTGGTGATTTTTGAAGTCACGCTTTTGTTGATCAGACATTGCTTTCCTGTCAATCTTCTGACCGCTTGCATTCATTGGGTACGTGTATCCATCTGTCACCATGTCCCACAGATCAGCATCATGTGCCAGAAAGAAGCTTTTGATTCTGTCTTTCCAATAATCAAAATTCTCTCCATCAAAGACTGGAGGTTTTCCGCTGAATCTGTCTTTGTCTTCATTGTTGTCATTGCTGGTGTTTTGATAAGTTCCTGCCATTATGTTTTTTTGACACTGGATCTTGTACTGACACGGTTAAGTGTTTTAGCTCAGAACCAGGCGCTCTGATGCCAATTGAAGAAGTGAAAAACACAAGAAGGGGGGTTGAATTGTAAAACTTGAAATCAATTGCAGACAACACGTTATTTTTATCCTAGTTCGTTTGATCTCAAACTACTCCAGTCCACCCGTCAAGGTGATTTCGCCTCTCTCCAACGAGGTCTTAATCCACTATATTCAACTGAATATTACAACTGCTTTAACAACTGCTAAAGCCTTCTTGAGTCAAAACCACAAACCGGTTTCTCAAGGAAATACTTTCTTACAGATAAATGGAATCTAAGTGTGTTGAATGTTTTCTACAAAACTGTTTATCACAAATGTGATACTACACAATTTAAGCTTATGAGAACTAGAGTGCTAAAACAATAGAGTAATTAATTTGAGAGCTTTAGCAAACTGTGAATGAGGATGAAGATGAATAGCTTTTGGCGTGTGTAGAGTTGTAGAGCATTAGCCAATTCAATCTTCACTGACTTGTTTATATAGCATTGAAAATGATACGTTGGAGTCAGTTATTCCGTTTCAATGCCAATTACATTTTTTCCATATTGAGAAGATCTTTTTCTGGAATAATGCCGTTGATAATAAAGTATCTTGAATGCACAGTACCGTTGCCAATTAAGCGTGTTCTGGCTTTGGCTTATTCTGACGCTGCTAGGTGCTGATGAATTGTTGTTGTCTTGATCAGAGTTGGATTGTTACGCGCAGATCTGTTCATCAAGCTTCAGCGTAAGCACATGCTTTGATCTTCTGATTCTGGTATTTGATATAACATCCTCTGATGTTGATGTTGATATTCTTATGCTGATACTCATCAGAGTTTCTGTAAAACAGAATATAGTTTTTAGGTAGCATATATGTCTTACATGACTCATACAATTTATATAATCTTGCATTTTGTTATCATCAAAACTTTAACTTAGGGTAGTAGATTCAAACTTTGTTCTAACAGGTTTAACATCATGGTAAACTTATTCAATAATAACACAGTGAATATCATGTGTTAGTCAACTGAATTTCAAATAAATATTAAGTTCAAATATATGAGAATTACCTTTATAAATGTATCAACTTTCCTGCAGCCACCAGGAGATCTCTGAAGAGTGTACCACCTCCAAACTTCTTCTTGAAGTTAGCATAAAAAGGCATTAGACAAAACCCGTATTCAAATTCAGTATACTCTTCCTCAAATACTTGCATTAGTCCCTAAACACATAATTAACATAAATCATTAGTAAATTATAATGACAAGCAAGTACAATAACCACCAATGAACCATTACACATACCTTTTGCTGATCAGATATGAAGCACCACCTACCCTCACCATCAATGTCATCAAGAAGTAACTTGACAAACTAGCTCCAAGGGTCCTTGGTCAAACATACTACAACCTTAATCTTCAACTTGTCAACAATCACTGTAGCACTTCCTTTCACATTTGTGTTTTATGAAACAAATGTTTGATCTTAAATGTTGTAGTTCTTAAAACTCCGCTAAATAGGACAACGTAACTACATTTCTTTTTTGTCCTTCCAAACAATCCTACACATGTCCCCATTAGCAGCCAAATACAACTTGGATTGCTCAGTTTCTGCACTGAAGAAAAATCTGAATGACTATTAGATGATTGTGAAATACCTTTAAAAAATTATGAGCTTGTGAAAGTTGGTGACATTGTAAGAATTCAAATGTTTCTGTTTGTTTCATTTACAATTGCAAGAATGTAAAAATCTTTTTGAGTGTTTACTATATTTATTATGTTGAGCCCTAATCCCCAATTAGAAAAAAATTTGAGCAAGAATTCAAATCAACTTGAAATCCATCAATCAAAATTCAACATCGATCACAAGAAATAATTCCCTAATTAGAATCAAAAGTAACTAACAAAGTTGAAAATCGAAATCATTACATTTGAAACCCATATACAGAAAATAATTCAGACATAAACCCTAATTCCCAAATCAAAATACCCATATATAGAAAACAAATTCAAGCATAAACCCTAATTTCCAAATTGAAATTAAATTTAATACCCCAAATTATACTTTATTCGAAATCAGTAAATCTTAATAACTAATTTCAAATAAATATAACAAACAATTTCGTATTCACCTTAGCAACTATGTCTTTAATACAATCTCGCCCTCGAATGATTAATGTGTTGTTATGTTTGATGAACAATTGAATCGGAGAACGCTATTAGAGACGTTTGGACGGAGAATTTGAGAACGCCATAGAATCAGAATCTGAGGTTGCTATTAGAGAGGTTTTGACTGTGATTAAAAATAATTTGGAGTGTGAGATTGCTATTAGAGAGTCATGTTGGGAGAATGATGTTGAAAAAACGTGTGAGATTAGTGTTTAGAGTGGTCCGAAAATGGCAGTTTGAAGGTGGAAAAATGAAGAACGATTCACTCTTTTTTTAATTTGTAAATTACAAATTATTATATAATTTAAATTTAAATAAATATTATTTTTGAATTTTTAAATTATTATTAATTTAATGAAGGATTGATATGCAATAACTAAAAATTTTAAATAAAAAAGGGTTCACTATAAATGTTTTGCACTTAACGTTGATGTGACATTGATTAAATTAGAGCTTGTTTTTTATCGGTCAGATTAGTGACTTCACCAAAAAAATCACTTTAGTGACCTCACCCAAGAAGCTCCCAACACAAAAATATAAAATTTAGAGAGAGAGAAAGGAGGAGTTAGGGAAAGTCCTTTTAGATAGTTTGTCATTGAAAATAGTTTCTACAGTTTTGTCCTATTCTACAACTACTTTTAAATAAAAAACATTGAACAATGACTTCTTCTGTTTTGACCCTGATATGATTACCCAGACTCATGTTCTTGGAAACCAGATCACCACTTTGGACTTAAATGTGCTATGATGCTTGTCTAATGTCTACTACAGCAGCATGCATTAAGGTATGAGAATGATTCTTATCATTTTCATGTTTGTCATTAGTTCTGATGCAGCACAAAGTATGAGAATGAATCTAAACCAAAATTAAAAAATGTGGCACATAACACCAGTGCTTAATCATAAGACATTATGGAGGAAATTGCTCAACATCTGTTGAAGGGAAACTAGATTGTGAGGTTCGCATCACCCTAAGTAAATTTTTTGCTGTCTCCTTCTCCTGAAAGAATGATTTTGATCATTAAATAATTTGGTACGAACAAATTGATTCAAATTGAGAGTGTAGTTATTATAAATAAATAAATAAATTGAGTGTAGATAAATATTATAGACTCACCGGGCCAGTATAATCAAGAAGACGAGTACAATAAACCTCTGCCTCTTTAAATCTTTTCTGCGTTTTATAATAACTTGCAAGATACAGCAAAGCCTCAACCATGTTAGGTCCATCACGCTCTTCATCTTCCATCCTCTCTAAATCCTTTTTGTAGTAATACGCTGCCTCATCTGGGCGTTCCAGCTCTGAATGCAGCTTTGCTAGTTGGTGCAAAGCAATTGCTTCTCTGTCATTACATTCTGATGCCCTTTTATAACACTTTATTGCGTCATCAAGCATGCGAAGCTGCTCAGTTTCATAGCATTGAGCCATAGCAATCCACAACCGAGAATCAGTTGGCTGCAAGAAAACAGATTTTTTGAAGTAATGAAGCGCATAGAAAGGCATACCCATCATCTCATAAGCTTGTCCTAGTCCATACCAAGCACGATAATCACACGGGTCTATATCAACAGCTCGACGATAGGCATCCACAGCGGCAGGAGTGTTTTTCATCTCTACAAACTCATGACCCATAAGTGTCCAAGCAGAGAGATAATTTTTGTTCAGTTTAAGGGCTCTCTTAAAATATACAACTGCTTTTTCATGTTGTCCCTTTAAACTGTAATAATTCCCAATAATACAACAAGATTCGGGTCTGTATTTATCAGTCAGGAATACTCTATGGGCAAGGTAACTCAAAGCAGAAAAGCATTCCTTAGAATATAGCACATTGGAGTACATATCCATGTCTTCCACTCTGTAAGGATCATTTCTCAGCAGTTCTTCAAATATAGCTTCAACTTGATCAAATTCTTTCAAACTGTACTGGACTTTAGCAATTTGGGCTTGGATGTAATTACTAAAACCAAAAGTTCCGAGTAGGTATTCATATTTTAACAGAGACTCACTATGCATCCTTAATTCTTGGTATACACTGGCAAGAAAAAATTCCTTCATCCAATGACTACTAAGATTAAGACTATTCAAGGTATCAACTGAATTGCATAAGGATTGCAGCTCAGTCCAGACATTCCAGTTCCAAGGGTAGCTATTTACAGATTCCACAAGGACTGTCCGTGCCAAATTTTCGTTGCCTTTCTGTTTCAGTATAACACCATATAAGTACAAACAAAAGGGATCAATTGTGCCATTCTTGCGAAGTGTAGATAACTCTTTCTCTAAAGAAACTAATTCCTGATTCCCGGCATTACTCTTACCCAGAGGTCCCTCAAGTTCTATCATCTCTTCCTCTTTTCGCTTTTCTCCCGCCTGTAAGAAGTATAGAAAAGTTATAAACATGTGGAATTTCAAAAACAAAAAACACTCAGTTATTTTTCAAACCGATGTTATGTGCATAAATTTATAAGAAGAGTGCATTGCGTCAGATTAGTTGTCTGTGCTATTAGCATACGACGGAGCTCAATGCATTGTCTTTATTTAGGTCAAGAGAAAGTAACAAGTGACAAGGAATAATATGATATGACTAACAGTTTCTGTTAAGATACAATAAAATATATTAAAAAATTCTACACATTATGACAGTTCTATAGCATGATAAGACTAGGTGGCAAGAAAAATTCTCTTCAAAATGAGTTTAGACAACAACTGAAATGTCTTAAAGAAATATCTGAAGTCAGTCTGGAAATAGAAAGCACATTACATGAATAAAAGAGAAGTAACAACAAGAAAAGACTGAGTTTGTTATTGGGATTAGAATCATATATTGCATAATAAGAATGCAATATTTCTGCTGCAAACAGAAAGAGTTCAAAAATAACTAAAAAAGAGGACGAGTGCTTTAACATGCATATACACTGTTAATCTCTCATTCTTAATTTTCATTTTTTGCTTCTGGTATAAAACTTTTTCTTATTCTTTTTACAAGGTAACTCACGAAGGCTTGTTAAACTGATACCTATACCTACTTTCTGAGTTTTATTTACGAAAGTCACTTAGGGCGTGTTTGGGGGTTGAGTTTTGGAGGACGAAGTCTATATTTTGATATATATATTTCATATTTTAAAAATGTAGAAAGAACAACATGATAAAAGATCATATAATACTTCAATCACACTAAAGTTATTTAAAAATACTTCAGTGTCCTGAACTATGTAAGCTCTCCCCTCCCCTCCAAAATCATCCATCCAAACATAACCATAGTATATATCATTGTCATATTACATACAAAACTTAACGGATATCTGTTTAATAAAAATGTTAATAGGATACATTTATTAGAAACCCCAACTTTGAGGGCAACAGCCTGGGTGTTAACGTATATTGGGTCGTGTTGTGACATTTAATATAATCATACTTGATCATTAATTACATTTTCCAACTTACTTTCCAACAGCAATTATAAGATTTAAAAGATAGCTCTGAGAAGAATATCTATTCGAGGCATGTAGTTCCTTAATTTGAAAGCATTAATAGCATAGCAAATTGAATCACATTCTGAAATACATACCCTAGACATACATTGTTGAGACTTGAGAAACACATCTTACACTTAATGTATCTTTCAATGTTGAGATACCTAGCAAATTGAATAAGAATTTGAAACAGATACCCTAGACATACAACAAAGTAGCATTTTTTATCGGAACAAGAGATAAAAATAGCCCAAAAAGGGAATCCAACAAAATGAGCATAATTAAACAAACCAGATAGAGAGCATAGCATCGCAAGAAGAGGGATTTGCGTCCGATTTGATCACGAAGAACATGAGCAGCTCTCTTATACTCACGGCAATCGAAGTAAGATTTAGCCAAAAGGTAAAAATCAGTGTCAACAAGCGCATCCTCCTCCATAACCGGCGTAACAACATAGGAAACACCGCTAGGGGGCGTAGCGGTGATCTCATGAGTTCTGTACTTGCGGCGAATACTTGAGCTTCCACGCTGAAACCTCGTGTTGGACGGAGTAAACTTGGATGGATCTTGCTCGATCCCTACCAATTGTTCCGATGCCCTGAAATTAAGAGATAGAGAAATGAGATATTATGAGAGGAGAGGGGTTAGAATTAGGGTTTGGAAGATTTTAATACCATTTGGAAGCGGAATTGAGACCACGATCGCTAAGTTGCCGAATTGCGATGCGAAGTTCGCTTCTGCAGCTTTCTTTCGAACTCATTTCACTCGCCCGCTCTTCTGCTTTTTCAAAATTTCGCTCTCCCTACTCCCTATTCCTTTTCCACTCCCATATATGATAATACTTCTCTTCTCTACAACGGTTTTCTTTTCGTTTTTGAATTTTCAGCCAAGTACATGTTTTTAGATTTTTTTTTTTATAAAAAAAATCTATATATAAAGTGTTTTAAATACTGAAACGGATATTAAACCGGAAAGGATATTGTGTCACTGATTTATTGGTCGAACTATTGGATTATTGATTGAACCGTAGGACTAAATCGAATAATTCCGTTGAATAGATTAATCATTATTAACAAAATTATATAAATATAAAACTTGTCGGACCAGATGATTCAGTCTCTACAAAATATAACTAACATTTAAATTTTTAAAAAAATACATATCATAAATAAATTCACAAGTTTATAATTTAAATTTAAATTTAAACATAGGTATCACATATAACAAAATAGTACGAAATTATAAAGTCTAATTGTAACATAATCTAATTGAATAGTTTGTAACAAAATAATTCCATTGTCTATTAAATTTATTTTCAAGGAGGAAAAATCATTTCAATGTTGAAATCTCCTTCTTCAATATCAAAATCATCGGCAATAAAATCAATCTCATCTACAACATCTTCCATGCCAATGATATCATTATTTTATTTTATTTTTTATTTAAATTTTTTATTAAAATAATCAAAGCGGCGTCGGTAAATTATATAAAATCAGAGTAAATTAATTTCTAAATAAACATCAACCAAATAGGATGTCACATACTTCACCAATCACACATACTCAAAATTAGGATACGCAACACAAATCACATGATCATAAGTCTTAACTTTAGTGCATTTATTCACAGCGGGAAACATCGCTAAATAGTCATCTCAAATTCTCCAACACGAGTCATAATTATTCACTTTCAAAACATTGACATAATCATAAGGTAAGTCAAAAACAACGGAGTTATATAAGTTTACTCCCAACATGATAAAACAAACGCAAAACCCCTAAGTGTTAACGTATCAGAGTTGACACCGACTCAATCTACGCAACTGAAAAAACTCCCCAGCTAACCTTCGGTCTCTAGCTACTTTAGATCATCTACACGTTATCCACGTGGAGGTAACATTCAAACAGAAAGGCTGAGATATCATAACAACATTCATTGTAATACAACACATACCTTCATCAATACTCACCCATCGAATTATCAATCACAATATGATGCAAAAGACCGACACAGACTCAATGCATGTGGTACCAACAAGATAAACCGTCTTCGTGATAATGCCCTTTTAGGGAAATCAACTTCGCTCGCCAATACAAGCCTTCGCTCGCCAATACAGGCCTTCGCTTATAAATTAATGTGACACTGACATGCAATAACTTAATTTCACATTGATTATTCTTACTTATCAATGCCACGCTAATACAGGCCTTCGCTAATCATCATTATCATGCATATCATGTCACACCGTCAAAACATTCATGCAACATAATCGTATTCAATCACAATATCAATCTCATCGATTTCATCATCATATTCACAACTTCGCAATTACATCAAAACAGCAGAATAAACCAACACATGTCACCAAACACATATCATAGTACATACATCATTACAACATCTTCACATCAAGAAATATATTCACATTTATCATCATATTCACAACTTCATGATTTCATAAAAATAGCAGAATAAGCCAATACAGGCCACCAAACACATATCATAGTACATACATCATGACAACATCTTCACATGAAGAAATATATTCACATTCATTGTCATATTCACAACTTCGCAATCACACACAACACCAGAACGAAACAAAATCCATAAAATTATCTCATATTGTTTTTCAAATCATTTTTATTAAATAGAAAATGTTTTTAGCTTTTCGTAAGTTCGAACGACGCGTCAAACGGACACCCGAGGCAAAAATTATGGGTTTTAGAAGTTTTTCAAAAATGCAGTCAATAGTAGTGGTAACCGGTTACCCAGTTATGGTAACCGGTTACCGCAAGACAGTAACCTTTTCCTTTTCAAAATCTCCCATGGTAACTGGTTACCACTTAAGATAACTGGTTACTGCAAGTCAGTAACCTCTGTTTTTCCAACCTTTTGCATATGGTAACCGGTTACCATATATGGGTGACTGGTTACCCTGCGACAACAGGGAAAAATTATGCAATTTCCAGTTACGATTCTTCTATGTTTCAACACCCAAAACTCATATGTTTTTCATCAAAATTTACTTTTTAAGCATGTTAATTATTCACCAACATTTGTCATTCAACCTAATAAATTCATGTCATCAAATCTCATCAAAAACACATCAAAATCACCAAAAATCTATCAATGGGGAAAAACCCCAAAAACAACCAAATCGATAGAAATCAAAACACACAATCAAGTAACCTAAATCCTACCATACCCCATTATTAGGCAACCTTTTATAGAGTTAGAATCCCCCTTACCTTAAATTTTCGTTGATTCTTGATTTCTACGGTGAAATCCTTGCCCTAACTTCCTAGTGCCTTTCTCCTCTTCTAACTTCTATGCTTTTCTTCTATTTTCACGTATTGACTCTATTCTTTTCTTCTCACTCTAATATATCCTAACTAATATAACTAACCCAATAAATAATTATTTAATTATTATTATAAAATAATAATAATCCCAATAATATAATAATAATAGTAATAATCTATATTATTCCACACAACCCCATATTTCTACGCATTTAGCCATACACCCACACCACCTTAACTTATATAATTTTAAGGCATCTCATTACTAACAAATTCATCACATCACATCATAAAATCCATCAACTTATATAATTCCACCGCATCATCTTATTATTTAATTAAAAATAATTATAATTAAATCGAGGTGTTATAACTCTTCCCCAATTAGAATATTTTCGTCCTTGAAAATTACCTGAAACAAATAACTCTGGATACGACTCTCGCATCCCACCCTACAACTCCAACGTCATGTTTGGAAACCTTTCAAATACTACTATCCAATATTATATGTCATTAACTACAATAGTCCAACAAGATGCATTACTATTGAGTTATGAATGCACATATCCATTTTTTTCTCCTTATCCCATCACCCTGCAATACAAGATCTATTACTTTACGATATTGTTCGCACATGAAATGGAATACAAAGAAGTCTTTTCAGTCACTATAAGTAACTGTTGTACCCCAAAATTTTCCCTCTCATTTATCAAGATTTTCCTCACAAGACTTCTTGGACTCAAGACAAAATTAGGGTTTTGGTCAGCTCAAGACACTTCATCTTGCACTGATGACCTAAAATTAGGGTTTGAGTTTGCACAAGGATGTTTGGACCACCAATGATTCATGTGACTTTCATATACCATCTTGGACCCCTAAGATTGCTCATGTTAAGTTTCAAACCTTCAATCACATTTTTGCTCAGTCAATTGGACAGTTGACCTAAAAATCAACTGTATTGGCAAAAAGTCAACCATGGCCAATTTACAGTCAAACTTCATAATTTTTGATCCACAACAACATTTTAGACTCATATGTACCATTTGATCAAGTTTGGATCACAACTCCTCAAGAAATTTGATAAAATCATCAAAAGGGCAAAATGGTCAAAATTAGGATTTTGACTGTGGAAGGGAAATTCCTGATTTTTAACCTAGAAAATAACCAATTGGGTTCAAACATGATTTCAAGGAATTAATGGAATCATATTTACCTAATTACATGGTTCAAAAGATCTCAAGTTCATTGGATTGACAAATAAATTTTCCAGTCAACTGATCAAAAATCAACTGTACACTAAAAAGTCAAACTTTGACTTTTTGGTTAAAATCAAGTGCCAAGGGTCATAATTCATCAAGATAGGTCAAAACATGAAACTTATTCATCAATAAAGCCAATTTTGAAAATTAGGGTTTTGAATTTGAAAATTTTCATAACTTAGAATTTTTCTAAGTATGGAAATTTTCTTATTTCCCCCAACTTTTCACCACTTTTTCACCATGATGCAATTGGATTCAAAGAAAACTTCCAACATGAAAGTTGTAGTCCTCCATGAAATATACAACTTTTATTCACAAAGTTTTCTCAAAAGATGCTTGGATATCAAGTTATGAATTTGTGAATAGAGGTCCATGAACTAAATGACTTAGTGAAAATTTGCCCTAATTTAGGCAGGTTTTTGACCCAACTTCATGGACATTTTTCACCTAGTTCCAAGAGGTAGATCAAAATTAATTTCAAATATGGATTGTATAGCATATTTCTAGCTTTACAAAATGTCCAAGAAATCTCCAAGATCATTTGCGGTTAGGGAGAATCGAAGAAGAGAAATTGGCATTTTGTCACTTTTGTTCAAGCCATTTTTTACAATGCATCAAGTTGCAAATTTGATCTTGGATGCTTGTACCTTGCATTACATGTCCTAAACTCATTCTACACTCCATAATTAAATGCAAAATCAGAGGATAAGGGCATTATCTTTGCTTTTGGAGCATTATACAAGAAATAATTCCATAAATGGCCAAAAGTTCACAATGCCATTTTCATAAAGCAAGCTTTTTGCAACTTTATCATTCTTGAGCCTTGGAGCTGTCCCTTTGGTGCAGGCAATTTCCATAGATCACAAGCAATGTACACCAACTCTTTGCAACCCTAAAACTAGCCAGTACAAGCATGTTAACTTAAGTCACTTCACTTTTCTTCAAAGGCAAGAAAGTTGGCCAAAAGTTCAGAACTTTTACAAGCTGATAAAGGTTGGACTTTGTATCATTCTAGACAGGTTCACAAACTTGTTACAAGCTAGAACACGAATGCTAAACATCTGAAACTCTCCCAAACTGAAAAACCTCATTTTTTTGCCCAAACATCCAATTTCTGCAAAATCCTTGCCAACTTTATTTTGGCTCGTGCGTTTTGCTTTTTAACCTTTGAAACACTTCATCCACATCATATCAAA